CTACTACTACTACTACTACTACTACTACTACTACTACTACTACTACTACTACTCTCTCTCTCTCTCTCTCTCTCTCTCTCTCTCTCTCTCTCTCTCTCTCTCTCTCTCTCTCTCTCTCTCTCTCTCTCTCTCTCTCTCTCTCTCTCTCTTATGGGGTAGTAACCATTGTTTTCTATTAGCATTCATGGAGAAGCTAAAGCTTCATGGATGAGCACATGCCCCAAATCCATCAAAGTTACAGACAGCTCCCCTTTCCTCTACGAAAGATTGATTTGCAGATAACATAACATTTGGCTCATAATATCTTTATTTTCTCGTCAGCTCAAAATTTTCAACAACGACTACGACAACAGTGATCTTTGCATGGCGCACACACACACTTTGGACCAAATCATCTGCTACTAATCCTACGCCAAACCTACCAGCTTCTCACTTAGCTGCCACAGCCTCTGAGCCTTCTCAGGATCACTGGCTTCCTCCGACAACTGGTTCTCGAACGACGCCGAGTTATTGTTCCAGCTCCAGTACACGCCGGACTTAGTCAGGCTTGGATCAATCACCACCTGAATCGAAGAACACAGCCGGATTCCGAAAGGATCGTCGTTAGTAATCCACCATGTTTTCTGGTGTCAGCCAAGGAGACGACGTTACCTGTGCGAGTCTTTTGCCTGCTTCCTCCTCGGAGACGAAGCCTTTGGTGATGTACTTTTGGAAGGGAGGAAAGAGGAGGCGGAACAAAGCGACGTGCTCCCTGAAGAGCCCGGTGGTGGCGATGCAACCGGGGTAGAGGGAGGCAAATGTGACCCCGGTCTCCTCGTGGAACCGCCTGTGGAACTCCTGCATCGTGAGCATGTTGCAGACCTTGCTGTCCTTGTACGCCTTGGCGCCGTCGAACTCGCCTCCGTCGATCATGGTGGAGCCGCCGAGCCCATTCAATCCCCCCGCGAGCCCTCGCAGGTCTCCCAGGTTTGCTTTCGGGGGTATGTTCCCGGCCAAGGTGTTGGTGTTCCCTGGGCACCGGCAAGCACACACGGAGAAGCTCGAGTTAGCGATGCGCCTCGATCCAAGGAATGTATCGGGTTCAGGTCGTACCTGTGATCGAGCCGACGATGATGAGACGTCGGGAGGGGTAATCCGATGCCTTGAGGTCCTCGAGGAGTTCTCGGGCGAGGAGGAAGTGGCCGAGGTGGTTGACTCCGACGCTCATCTCAAAGCCGTCGGCGGTGTAGGTCGGCTCTTTGGCGGTGGGGAAGTAGACGGCTGCGTTGCACACGAGGACGTCGAGGGGCAGCCCGCTCTGCCGGAAGTTCCTGACGAACTGGCGGACGCTGTCGAGGGACGCCAGGTCGAGGTGCATGACCTGGTAGTTCTCCTTGGCCATGCCGGCCGACTTGGCCGCCTTCTCGGCCTTGAGGAAATCGCGGCACGCCATGATCACATTCCATCGTCCCGTCTCGGCCAGTGCCTTAGCGGTGGCAAGGCCGAGGCCGGAGGAGGCCCCCGTGACGATCACGTTGCCCTTCCTCAGCGTCTTCTTCCCATCCGGGGCGGAGCTTTTGACCCCCGGGGTTGTAGTTGCAGTCTGAGCTCTGATTCCGGCTGAAAGATTATTCCTCTGCATTTGATTCAACATGAACGAGCTAAATGAGTTCTCCGAACAAAGAATTCTACTACCTCTGCTTTCTTCCTGATGCTAATTAGATGTTCTTAACTAGAGCAGAACAATTTGCTTTGAGTCAATCTTGTAACAATAAACACAATATGCAGAAGAACCACAAACTTCCAGCAAACTAAAACCCTCATACCTTGTGGCTCCTGAGAACCGAGGAACTGAAGTCCGACTTCATGGTTTCAGACAGAGACACACCCAAGAAAGCCGAGTCCTTCGCACCTCCATTAGCCTTTCCCTGCACCACCGAACAAGAAAGTTATAGCTCACATATCTGCTTCGGAAAGAAGGGTAAGAACAGAATCAGCAAGCTCACACCTCCTTGTGAGCTGAGAGAGCCGAAGGAAGAAACGAAGCCTGAAGCGCCATTGTGCTGCTCATGGAACCGATGGTTGCAGGAGGAGGAGGAGCAACGGCAGCAGGGTTTTGTAGTGCCGCTGGATCGAGGGGATAAGGTGATAGAATCCGGGCCAACTTGGCGCGGAATCGGCCAATGAGGGTTCTTCCTTTGGATTGCACCCGTGGCCGTATTTTTATGGCTCATCTCGTTGTGGATCGACCTGTAGATCTGTAGATGTCGTTGTGGATCCACCTGTAGATTTGGTCGTTCTGGGCCGAGATGCATAGCCCTTCTCCAGCCAATAATGGAGCATGGGAGGGCACTGTTGATGAGCTGAGCTGAGCTGATGTCCTTTTGTCGAGAACTTGCTGCACAGCTTATTAATTATAATTATTTAGATAATGTTGATATTTTTGTCAATAACGCATCTCTTGTTCATTATTATTTTCAATAAAGATTATTCATGCCTATTATGAAAGTTTTACAAGCATTTTATGATATGCTGTATTATTATTGTCTCACATCCTTTTATATCATCATCCATGTCGCAATCACAGTCAAAGAGGAATGCTGCAAGAGGTCCTACCAAGTAGCTATAATTAATGGCGCAAACGATTTCTGATCCAAAACTCAACCAGAGATAAGATCATTGATGAAGATTTCTCACATCACAATTTCCTACCAAGTGAGAGGACAACATTCACTGTCAGTCATAATTAATAACTGAAACTTTGGGTAATTTTTCTTGCAGCATTTGAATTTAGTTTCTCTTCTTACATCAACATATGGTAGAATAAAACAATGGGGTCCAGATCACCATACCCCCAAAACATGATTGAGGTGATAAGAAAAGAAGAGGAAGATACAGAGAATGGACCAACCAGCTCCCAGTTTCACCATCTTTAGCTTCTGCTTTAACATGCAATTGCAGTAACATCCTCGCAATACTGATGGATCCTTGTGGAACATCTGTTGCTGGATTGGTTTTTTACAAATCAATCACGCAAATGGACAAAAGGAAACTCAAGTATAGGCCCGATGGATATCACAACTCTCGTGACATCCATCTAACTGTACACAAAACTCCAGCAGCATCAACCTGGGCAGTGGAGGGTTGAATCATTTGACGTTGGCGATCTCCCTCCATTTACCACAAGTGGAGAATTATATTTGAAATGGAATGCTGAAATTCTGAAAAGTTCTAATTTCGCCGCATCGACTTGCAGTGACAATCACCAATCCCCAGGCCGAACTTTTTGGCACCGGCATATGACAACTGTTCAGGTCATTATTACTTCGAGGTGTCTGTTTACTAGCCATGAGCTCTTCAGGCCAAGTTGCTGAAAGCTTGTCACCGAAGTGATCTGGTTTTCGACCGAGAATGCTATTGTTTTGCTGGCAACTAATGTTCTGGTTACTAGGAGAAGGCGAAAGATGGAGCCCATTGGCTTCAACCAGAAGTGGTGAATTGGCCTGAGATTCTTCACCAACTTGGTCCTTCTTGTTGGAGTGAGTTTTCACCATCCTTTCCAATCCGGAGCATGGCCAAGGAACAGCTACTGTCACACCCTGGCAGTGGAAATGCTCATAAGACTGCGTGACAGTTGCTGCAGTTTTGCTCCTACTAGGCCGAGAATCTTCATCGTATCTCCATACATATACATGAGAGTCCTCACTGGCACAGATAACATATCTTCCATTAGCAGTCCAGTATGCTGAGATTTGGCTGCTTGTATTGCGAAACCCTGAAAAAGAAAGCAATGCATCAGCCCCAGCTAACAAACTGAAGAACAGTGAATGAAATATTACTGTAACAAATCAAAATATTATATGCAGGTAGCACTGCCAGCATGAATGAAAGTTTCAGGGTGATTTGGTCCACTTAGATAGGTCTTTCCATAAGAAATATACATCTTACAGCATATATATTTCCCATGCAATTAATATTGGTAGGAACCAGAAAAATATCAGTAGGAACCAATAACAGGTATCTATATCATCACAATGATCCATGCTCCAATCTTTGAAAGATCCATGAAGACTGATGCATATTTGACATAAGTTACTTTAGAGTGCTGCTTCTCACTTCATTTCAGGAGAGGGGTCCTGGTATTGCTCTATGCCATTTTAAAGAGATGTTTTTGACAAGGATTGTCATTCATGCTGACCAACACATATGATTGATTTGGTGCTTGCTACTTGGTAATGTGGAGTAAAAGCTTCAAAAAACATGAAATTGCATCTTACTTCAGTTTATCTATCCTGTTCACCGGTCACATGCATGCTGCTAATAATACATCAAGCTTTTACAATAAGCAAGGATCTCAAACATGTTTCGGAGGATGATTGTGTCAATCATGATTTATTTGGTAGCTAATTTCAATTCTTTCTTAGATAAATCAAAATTTCTTTGCCTCGCCTTTGCATCTCGATTTTTCATTTTCTTTTCAAGTTTGACTACAAAACTTATACTACAAGTGAAGTTATTTGATGTCAATAAAACAATAAAAATCTAAAAACCAAATTTAAAAGTTTCCATTTTAATTCATAACATGTTTCCTTACCATCTGTAGCTAGCATGGAAATCTTTTTTGGAGAACATAGAAATTAAGCAACATTCCCTATAAGCTTCTGCTACTAAATGCTCATACAAGCTCATTTGATGATTGATAAGAATAGAAGGCTAATCTATGATGTAAAATTATGTTACCTTAAATAAATGATTTGAGTAAAATTCTAAAGTGGAATCTATACCTTTGAATTTGTGGACCAGTGCATCATTATCAAGTATCCGCACTTGTGAATCTGCAGATGTAACCAGCACCTTTGAAGAACTCCCTGGAGCAAACTGTTAAAGAAGCTAATTAGAAAGCTCATTATATTTAGAAATGATAATTAAATGATGGAGAAGTTCAACATTTTTATATAAAAAGGAAAGACTGATCATACAAATACCTGGAATCCAGTAATTTTCTTGTGTCTGGACTTCTTTTTCTTATTTTGCAATTCAATGCGACTTTTTTGGAGAAGCCTATTGTCTGAATCCAAGAGAGATATATACATACATAAATATCATAAGTTCGTTTCAAAAATTAGATAAAACAGATAGACCAAACTAAGAGAGGGTTTATGTGTTGGATGCACCATACCAGATGTATCATACAAGTGACAACTCCCCTCGTGTGAACCAACTAGAGCGCCCTTCAACAATCAAAAAGTTGAACAATAAAAAATAAGATATCAACTGATCCATACTTGGAACAAGTAAATCATTTAGTTCCTAATAAAAGACCTGCCCATCAGGGGTATAGCAGGCAGCAGTGACCATCTCATGCAAATCATTCCAGTCAACAATTTGACGATCTGGAATACTCCATATGCGGACTTTCTCGTCTAGGGATCCGCTAATGAAGTACCTGTCATCAATAGGATTGAACTGGATGCAAGTCACTGCATCAATGCAAATGTAAGAAGTATCAAGAAGCTAGCTAGAACAGAAAGAACATACCAGAACAAGAAAACAAAAAATAAGTCAGAAGATAATTTGAGTGTACCGTAGTCACTATGTGTGAATGTTTTTAAACAGCAGTTGCTGGACATGTGCCAAAGCCGAACAGTTTTGTCCATTGAAGATGAAAGAAGGTACTGAGAAATAAACAAACCAAGAATAATATGATCAACACTTTAAGCTTGAACCAGAGAAGATAAACTCCTTAATCGACATTTAAAAAGCTACTTGAGTCTGCAAGCATTCATTGATAACATCTGAACAGATTGTAAATTTCAGCATACTGGTAGTTATACCAATTAGGAGAATAAAATGGTTATCAAAAGTTTCATGATGCAATAACTAAAAAATTGTAAGATTTTCATTTATCACAAAAAAAAACAAAACTAACTAGTGAGCCAGTAACATATTTTGGATCATCGTTTTGTTGCTAGGAATTGCAACAAAGCAATATGTCAGGAGGTAGTAGATCTTCATAATATTTTTAATCACTGAGGAAAAAAAACCTATAATTCTTACTATATAAAGCATTCAAATAACTGCAAAATCTGGTTTTTGACATAATACTACAGTAAGCAAAAAAACAACCTCAAACTCTAAACTTAAACTAAATACAAATTCTTCAGTAAACTTTACACCAGGAATGGTTTAGGGTTCAATCTAAAGGACTGTACGAAGCAGATATTAGGCTTCAAATATTAAAAAGAAAATTCCAGAGCCCATTAGTGTTGTTTCATTATGCACCTACGGATGATATCAAGCGGGCCATGAAAGGGCAGCTTGGCTAGTATAAGACTGAAAGGCCAAAAACCATTTGACTCAGTACAAAACCAACCTACAGTGCTATGATAATACTATTCAAGTAAACTTTAAATATTGGATGCTCCTAACATACAGAAGATGTATCAAACACGAATGTTGGTTCTTACAGCTGAAAGCATTTTGCTACTGTAGATATATAGCATAATTATGTAGCTAAAAGGAACAAATCATGTCTGTTCCTGAAAATTCTACATAGCCTGTAACTTTCTCTCAGCTGTGCACCACTTCCATGTTTAGAATTCTGACCAGCACAAGCTTGCATACCCGAAATATCCTAATTCTTCTGACAAACTACCTGTATATGTGCATCACTGCATCTCTCCTCCTAAATTTAAAGTTTGATCAAGTTTCATGCTCTTATTTCATCATATATAAACCTCTGAAGGTCCCAATATTATTTCTTTCACATATAAAGCTGATGATCAGCAGCAATTCTACCTGTGATTTTGACCAAGAGAGATCAAGGACATCATCTGAGTGGCCTCTGAAAGAACATACAGGGCTCTCTGACAGAGAAAACATATGTTCTGGCATCATAAGAGAGTCCGAGCTAACAGACCTCCGACTGCCAGAAATCTTTGCTCTTCGCTTATTTTCCCAATGGTTCCCTTCGGCACTGGCCAACACCAATCTTGGATCTGGTGGGCAATCATCGATTGCCATAGCAAATGGATTGAAATTCCCACTCTGCTCAGCTACTTTTAGCAAACCCCCCTTTGTAGTGATCTTAGAGACTTCCCACACATGGATGACACAGTCCTCTCCGGCAGTAGCCAAGTACCGCCCGTCCAAACTAAACTTGATGCACCAGATGGAACCATTATGGGCCTGAATAGCCTGGCTCATGTAAAGACCGGTGAGCTCCTTGTGAGACTTCCCAGACTGTCGGACCTTCACACGAAGGTCTAGGCCGGGCGCACCATCCTGGCTGTCATCTGTAGCAGAGCTCGACCTCCTCCCTCCCTTCTCCGAAGATGTATCTTTCTCATCACTACTCCGACGCTGCTGATGGTGCCCTCCAGCTATCGCAACACCCGCCACATTCCTCACGCTCCTGAGCCAGCTTCCTTTCTTCTTTAGCCTCGTCCCTCCCCTGGAAGCCCCATCGATTCGTGGCGCGCCACCGGAACCGCCGGAGCTGCCGCCGCCATGCGCGGCCTCCTCCACGTTCTGCCGTCTCATCAGTTCTTGAACGATGGGTGACCAGCCGACGCACATCTTGAACTCCTCCATCGTGAGCTGCCGCCCGGTCTCAACCTCCCTTAACTTGTTCCACATCCCATCCTTCCCGAATTCCTTCACCACGAACTCCCTCCCGTTGTCGAGGTTCTTGATCAAGCACCTGGGGTCATCGCACTTCGCACGGTCGTCACCGTCCTCCCAGCGGTCTCTGCTGCCGACGCTGCTGCTTGCGTCGCCGTCGGAGACATCGAGATTCCCGGTGGACAAGGGCCGAGATCTCGAGAAGAGAGGCGGCCTGTGGGATACCGGCAAATTGATCGATCTCTGATGCTGGTGTTGGTAAGGCCGGCGCGGAGGCTCGGGTTTATTTACGGAGCAGGGGTTGACAGACCCATCGGATCTGGATCGGACCATGCCGGCGGCGGGGGCCGAGGGAGAGGAGGAAGAGGACGAGGAGGCATCCCAGGCGGGAGGCGGTGCGCCGGCGGGAGGGGGGAGGCGGACGAGGGTAGGGTCTCCGGCGAGGCCGAGGCGCTGGAGGAGGAGGCGGCGGCGTTCCGCGACGGGGGCGGGCTCGGAGGTCCAGACGTCGAGGGAGGGCAACGGCGGCAGGGGGAAGGTGCGGCGGCGGTGGCCGTCGCCATCGTCTTCGGAGGCGGAAGTGGAGGAGCAGGACGAGGACAGGATGCGGTCCAAGGACTCGTAGAACTCCTCTTCCTCCTCCTCCTCCTCCTCCTCCCCCTGTTCCTTATCGTGCATCATTCCAGCATTCCGGATCGCGACACGGCCGCGACAAGAAAGGAGCGGTTGGCTCCCGGGTGTCAGAATTGAAGGCAAGCAAGCAAGCAAGCGGCGCTTCCGCGACTCGGAAGAGAAATAGAGGGAGAGCGAAGGCCGAGGCGATTTGTTGTTGCTGTTTTCGTCGTCAGTTGATGAAGAGTAGGAGGAGCGGGGTCGTAAGACTAGTCGTCGCCGTTTTCGTGGAGGCTTGCTTAGTCGTGGTCGATCTTTTTCGTTCGTTCATTAACTCTCACAAATCAAAATCCAGCTGGCATCATTATCATCTATATGTATATATAATAAATATACTGTATTTATTTTTAAATTATATTATAAGAATTTCATATTTTTAGAACTCGTAAATAAAATAAAATTAATTAGATCGATTCTCCTAAAGAAGAAGCCACCTCTTAATTGCACTCTAACAACACGCACTTTAGGTTACGTGAAGTCAACGGCTATGCTTAAACGTAGGCAAAGAATCGACGGTGAGTAACTGCTATGTAATCTTCATGGTGAATTGGTCTTCAGTCAAACGCCTAATAACTTCTCTACGTAAAAGTTGACTTGTGCAGGTCTGAAAGGTTCGGACTACGTCAAAGCTTCCGGTTACAGTCAATTTCTCGTCAACGAAGACGGATTTCAACGCCACAGATGCCTACCATGTGTGCGTTGATGCTGCCTAAGGTTGCAGGGAGGACATGGAGGATGTGTAGGAATTGAATCGGCGGCCACAGCTATGACTGCCGAGCATTCAATGGATTACTTCTGGTTACAGCTCTACTCGTCGATCAAAGCGAAGGCTAACCCAAAAGCCTATGCTGCCTACGGCTGAGATCGAGTGAAATAATAGCTGAACAGGCAAAGAACAAAAACAAGACAACACTTGTCTTCATGGCCTGGCGATGCAAGTTATTATAAGCTGTCTGCCTTTTGACCGCTTGTTGTGTCACAGCAGTGCCAGTGATGGATGCCATGCAGTGACTGTGATCATATGTAGGAAAAATAAACATAGTGGGGTGAGAGAAAAGGTCACAGAGAATGATTTGTTTGCTGTAGACAGAGATTTGACTGGTGCACCGTTTCTATCTTCTGCGGGTGGAGGCGAAAGAGGATGGTGGCGAACAGTCGTCGGACTGTGAAATATGTGGATCCCAAAATGTATGAACCGCATCTTTCACTCGTTACGTAGCAGGTGAAAGTATGACTGCGTGAACAGCAAACAATCTCATTCTATGTATCCAATATGATAAAGCTGAAACATTCTGCCTACTTCTGGATTATTTACAAACAAAACAAGATCCAACTCGATATCGTCTCAACCTTCCAAGTTTTACTCCTTTCTATGATCTCAAAGATCTAAGTGGGATCGAGTTCATGCAGGTGATCTCTCTCTCTCTCTCTCTTTCTTTTCTCTTCCTCATAAATATTTAAAAGGAGAAGAGAGATTTGGGTTGGGAAAGAGGACGAGGGACCATCCACTAATGGCCATATCCCATCGTTTTCTTGGCGTCCCACCACCACTACCACCTACATTTGTGTCTCTTGAAGTAGTAGAACTTGGAGGACAGGAAAGGAGGGAGCAGCATGCTGTTGGTTGATGGCAGGCCATGAGAAAGAGGAGATCATTGAGACAGTTGTTGATCTCACGCAGAATGCTTCTCTTATCTGCACACTTTTACCCATAATATGACCGAAGCAATGAGGATCGCTTTAACCTACGAAGCTCACATAGTTAAGCACATTTCCCTTGCATCCCTGTAAAATAATACAGGAAAATTTTGTGTGGACCAGCACATAAATTTTTCTTCTCCTCAGAAATGGACCAGTGCATTTTACTGTATCGGCATGATAATGAGCAGAACCTCGCTCCTCAGGTGATGTGGGCAAAGATATTGATGGTGAGGCTCCATACTTGTCCTTTCATCACACAAGAAAAGAAGACATTGTGCAACTTGACATATACATAGTACAAGGCCAGAGATGAACTCTGTAAAAAGGAGATGGATAAGAATAGTTGAAAACCTAGGAAGACTTGGGAGGCCACTGAGTTGGCCGAAGAATCTCGACTGAGCTGCAGGGGAATGGTAGTTTCTGCTGGATCCCATAATAGCCCTCATGTGAAGCCACATGATCTGCCTCCACTACCCGAAAAAAACCTTGAAATCTAAATAGAAGTCAGTCATGAACAAACACATTGAATGACTCGATCAAGTTAAACCCAAAAGAAAGAAAGCAATAACACCTGTAGGTCAGCATCTACAGCTGAAGATTATGCACGATCGTAATTGCATGTTGGGTTCAAAGACATGCTTGCAGGCTCTTGATTGACTCCTTGGGAAGCAATAACCATTCTGTGGTCCTCCCATTCAATTGAAATGTACTACTCCAGCTCGGAGATTGGCACTAAACCACAGTAAGGGGACCATCAAAAGGTAAATCCCATCACTCGCACATCTCTTTGTTCCTCACTGCAACTCAAGAGCCCATATGTTACTGCATCAAAGCTGCAGTTGTTATCTGCGGTAGTATTCCACAGGAAGACGAGCTGGGGACATCGGAAAGGGGTGAGCACATGGAGGATGCAAGGGGAGGTACGAAGCGAGCTCAGCGAGTTGACATGAGTGGGAGGCATCTTCGCACGTATCGCTGTCACCGGCCAACGCAGTCTCATCTTCAACCCTTCTCCTTTTGCTCGATATCTTTGGCATTCTTTGGCGCGCACACAGGCTGGTGGTTGCTGCACAGGGTTGCAAATGGGCAGTGTTGCAGGAAGCATGTGAGGCTTCCTTGACTTGTTAATGTGGATCTTTTTAGTTTAGTTAGCAAAGGACTGGTTCTATTATGACCATATAATTGAAGCAATGAAAGAGCAATGTCAGAAAGGGCACATAAAATACTGTGTATGATTCCCAAGTCAATGGTTACATTCGTGGTTGTTACTTATCCCCCTCAACATTCATGAACACCATGAATGATGCTTTGAAGACTGTTCTTATGATCTTCTCCTACTGTATGCCTCGAATCCATTAAGCGATCAGTTTAGAGATATAACTGGCCTCGCAGAAAATGTCGTGGGAGTATAGTTTGAGCTGCACCTCAAAAATCTATGAGGAGTTTGGAACCGGCAATTCAATGGCTGGTGTTATTCTGTAGCATTGATCCTACTCTGAAAATTCATAGGATTTCATGTCGATTTGACGGATGGTGCAAAGATATCCATTCGGTACAACGGGCTCCGATGCCCGCTCCGCCCACTCAGTAAAATCCATGACAGCTCTACTAGCTAATCTATCATATCAAAATGAAGAATATTAGCTGAAAGGGACCAAATTATTATATTATAATCGAAAGAACAAATTATTATATTATAATTACTTTATCTAATTAAATAAATTATATTATATATGATTGGATTCTAATTATTATTATTGATTAATACTTTTTTTTAATTTTACTAGAATTTCTTAGAATATGACGTTGATGAGAGGGACTCCTAATTATAACCTTAGACGCTCTGCTCTCGTCTATAAAAGGACATGACTTTCTATAAATGAAAACCAGTTATTGAGATAATAGATATATTCTCAATCTCTCTTAATCCTTAATTTATCGCTTATAATGATTTGTGAAGGATAGGAAAAGAGGAGAAGGTGAGTCTAGTTCTTCTAGCTGATCGACCTTACTACAGCTTTCATATTTGACGATGATGCACCTATAGATTAAATAAAAATCTTTTGAATGATATCGAAATATATGCATCATAAATTTGATCTATCGCTTTTCGATTCAAGTTTATAACATTAAGTTTTTCATATAATAGTAGCATAATCATAGTTTTTATACTTATAATTGATATTAGAGTCATGCTTTAAAATCAAATACCTTAGATTTATTTATTACTACTCTTCGCTTGCGAAAAAATATTATTCGATTTTGATTATGATGCTTAAATGATTTGTTTGTGTTGTCGATCGATTTTTTTATCTAGTCTATCATATCGCTTGCTTGCTTGCCGACGATGTATGGTTCCTCGTGTTTGATCAATTGACCACCGTCAACAACTTACTGTCGGTGATAGTATTATTGAGGGTGATGGCTTCCGATGGTCATTAACCTAGTCGCGAGCAATGATTGCATATAGGTGCTACTATATACAGTGGAAGCATCATGGGGTACCATAGCTCGTAATGATCATATGCACAACTGCTTATGTGCACTAGCACTACCTTTGACTGACGGCTATAGCAATGTCACTATAGCGGCATTTGTTAGTCATGGTTGACGTCAACTAGATGCTAAAGGTTATGATTTTCAACGGCCACAGGGCGAAGAAGAATAGCAATGATCGAGTGAATGCCTAGGCACAACCACGCACTACGATGACCATGGGGGGTCCCTGGTTGTCGCGTGTACACAATTATGCAGTGGGGCGCTCGATCGACAACACTCAATTAGCAATTTATGACTACGGAGGTGTTCCGCCCATGAGCAACCCATGCATGGTGTAAACAATCGCACATGGGTTGACGACACGACTTGACATGACGACTGGTGAGATCGTCAATCGATTGTGTAAGAATAGTCGTTGCTCTAAGCAATAACCATAAGTGAAGGAAAAAAATAGAGTTTTATTTATCTTTTAATTCTAATTTATATCTTTTTCATAGTATTGTCCTTCAAAAATTATATATTTTCATTATATATCCCAAGAAAAATTATAATTTTATCTTCAAAAATTAATTTTTTTTACTTTGTTTTCTCGATTATAAAATTATCTAATTTGATTTATTTTAATCATATATTTTGATCAGACCTAATTATGAGTGTATTTTAACTACTTGATTAGATTTAGATTCTATTAAAAGTTTTGATCGAATTCAAAGATAATTAAATTTTGATAAATTTTAGCTTTGATCAAGTTTAATTTTTGACTAACTTAATTAGTTTGATAGTTATCCAATTCTAAGCCTACCTAATTAAATAGGGTTAACTAGTCCAAGAGTTTCATATGAAATTAAAAAATCATAATGAGACATTTGTCTAATAGACTCATTAAGAATTGTCATGATATTGATAATACATTACCATTTTGTGTTCCATTATATGTAAAAATAACTTTTCTTAATCGATATCTAGATGTAAAATTTGATATGCAAATTTAGGAAATCTATTTATGACATTAAACAAGCCTCTAGACAATTGTA